TATGGTCCCTTCCTGTCCAACGTGGGTGCATGGAAGGACAAGCTGCAGCCAGGTCTGCAGTGATAGGCTCCCAGAAGACTCCCAAGAGAGAACTGCCTTGTCTGGGTGAGGTTGACTGCATCTTGGAACCATCCATATCTCCTGGGATCCCCTTTTCTCTCTGAGGGTGTGCAGTGCCCTTATTTCTTAGGAAATAAGAAAAATGAAGATGATGCTGCTGCTGCTGAAGATGATGATGATTATTATTATTGCAGAGATTTGGTGAAATCTCTTTTAGACTCTAAAGTTGCTGTTGGAGCCTGGTTCCTCTCTGGGGTTGCAGGTTATCCTTCCAGAACATGACACACAGCCAGATTCTTGGAGCTGCTGCACAACTGGGCTCCTCATGTATTTCTGGGGATATGGGAGACAGGTGTTATTCATAGGTGGCAAAGGAAGGAAAGGGGAGAAGTGGTAGAAGCATAGGGCCCATCTGTTCCCAGAAGACATAGCAATGTCCCCAGAGAAATAGTGTAAAAACTCAGTGGGGCAAAATTAAAAATCTTAAATGGTCTATCAGGGGTGTGCAGAAAAGCAGGCATTTCTCACTGTGGATGGAGGACTCCACTGGGATATCGGATGAGGAAAAGACCCTTCCCACCATGGGGAATCCAGAGCCACCAGGTTCCCTCACTGTAAAGATCTTGGCTGCAGCAGCAACACATGTTACTCCTGGAGGAGGGAGGACCACAGCAGGGGTATTTCAGACATGCTAAGAACAAGCATTTTCTCCTCCCCATCTCATTCTTTGTTGCCCTTGCAGAGTAATTTCTGGCAGCTCTGCTCTCTTGGGACTATCAGTGGGGACGTGGTTTTTTGAGTCTCTCTCACAAATGCAGGAAGATTGGTCTCAGCATGCACCTTGGGTATCTCATCCTCGCTGTCTTCTTGTGACAACCACTGGGTAAGCATTGGCTTTGACTGTCAGCATGATTGCTCTTCTACCCAGGAGACTCTCATCCGCTCAAGAGATCTCTGCAGGGACCTGCTCTTGAATTATGGGCATATGATGGGAAACATTAGTTAACACATGTTGTTTTCAACCTGTTTTCTCAGGACGCTGTTACATCTTGAAAAGAAAAGAAAAGATGAGACAGAGAAAAAACACCTCCTCTCCTGATCATCTCAGACCCTTTCTCTTGTTTTTCTTTCTCCAGTCCTCCATCTCTTCCTGCCTCTCTCTTCTGATCTGTCTGGGCCCGGTGTTCCACAGACATAGCATTGCAAAAGTCCTTTTCTGTCTCCGCAGTACACATTTTCTGACCTTGCAACCCAAACACACAGGACTTTTGAAACCTGATGCAGGGACATGAAAGCTCTCTCATCCCACTCACATTGTTAGGGTGTCCCAGTGTCTCTCCTGGCTGGTACATGTCATGCAGCATGCCCTGGCTATCCATTTCTCCTGCATGTCCACAATGCCAGTGCTTCCTTTTCCCTCCCATGACCTCCAAGACTTCTGAGAGGACAGGGAATGAGGAGTAGGATGAAACTAGCACAGGAGAGCCAGGTACTACAGGCTGTTCCCTGGAGACTCTGGGTAGCTTGAGAGTCAGCATGGAAGACCTGGCTCTCTCTGGGGATATCCCTGTGGGAGGTAATTGACATTATTGTGCTGTGGGATCCACGCTGAGCTGAGGTCTCAGACCTCCTGCCCCAAAACACCCACCGCCTTGCTGTTCCCATCCATGGGGCTCTTGCTGCAGCACAAGGTACAGGGAGCCGTCTCCTCCAACACTTTGCATCCCCTCTTGGTTTGCATCTCAGAGCCATTCCCTGCGCAGTTGCTGACCCTGGCTTTCTTCCAGATACCATGGGACAGACCACTGCCACCCAGCAAGAAGGACAAGTCACAGTAGAGGAGAGAAACACCTTCCAAACAACCTGCAGGTGTTTGGATATACCAGGTGTCTAACTCGTATTGCTTGTTCTGGTACCAGCAGAAGAAAGACCAAGCCTTATAGCTTGTATCATATCACACAGCAGCTGGCTACAAGTGGAGCAGCCATCTCACCACATTGCTGAACGCCACAGAGAAATACAACCTCCTGCAGCTGGAGGAAGTCGAAGTCTCTGACAGTGCCTTCTGCCTCCGTGCTGTGCAAGTCATCATGGTGCAGGGAGCTCCCTTGGCTGTGCAACAAGCCGGGAATGGAGGGGACGTGTCTGTGCAAGGCTGATCCCGGGGGAAGGGGCCCTCAGCCGTCCCCTAGCAGGGCTGTTTTGTCTGTGCACCCAGAACTCTGCAGGCCAAGATCCTCTTCCAGGAGAGGACAAGTGTCAGTGGCTTGAGAGGAAAAAGAATGTGGTGAAAGAGCCTCAGGTTCCTGCGTTTTCACCATGGGTTACGTGGTTAATCTGCCAATGGCTTTGGAGAGGAAATGGGCAATGCAGGAGGCTGGGTCTGTTTGGGCAATGGTTCCTTGTAGTTGCTCTTAGCTTGATGGCTTTCCCTGCTCCACATTGCTTCTTCAGGTATTCCTTCAGGCCTGTCTCCTAGAACAGCTGTTCCAGGATGTGTCCCGCAGAGGTCAGAGTCCAAAGTAAGATGAAAAACATCAACAACATGCCATCTGGCAAGAGTCCTTCCTGGAATTGCATGATTCTAACAGTTTTGGAGCATAGTCAGAACCACCCTGTGCACCCTCCAGCTGGTGCGTGGCTGTGTGCTGGGATGTGGAGGACGTGCTCTCCCTAGTGCACTCTGTCCACCCTTGGAGCCCTCCTCATTCCCTCCCTCATGGACTTCCCCCAGCCCTGCCTCATTTCCTATGCAGTGGCACCACACTGTACAGCTCTATCCAAGATCTCAATGGGGGGATCAGACCACCAGGCAGAGGTGGTCAACAGGCCCTGCCAGGAGAAGAGCTGGCCTTGGGGAAAGCTGCTTCATGCCTGGGGGAAGGCCAGCCACCAGCGAGCAGCCGTGGGGGCTTGGGCACTGGCTGCTGTCCTTGGGGTGCCCTGTGTGGTGGGAGCTGGGGGTGTGAGGGAGGCACGAGGGCCCTGCTGTGTGGCCTGAGCAGGCAGAGTTCCACATCAAAGTGGGAGGTGCCGTAGCCCTGCCCATCGGTGTTATTGCTGGGCTGTGCAGGGAACTGTTTGGGGGGTGAAGGGTGGAGCGGTGACCTCTCCTTGCTACCCTTGCCCTTGGGTGCAGGCCATGCCCCTTCATTCTGGAGACAGGTGGGAGGATGAGGAGAAGATCTGGCTCTGTTGTAACAGCTTTTCCTCACACCATCCCCACTCCTGCATCCTTTGGGGCCATCTTGTGACTGAGCTGCTTTTCCCAGCACAGGATGCTCTGAGGCCAAGGGGCCGTATCTGAGCAGCGATGGCAGAATGCAGGGCCTGATGGCCACTGGCTGTGGAGGAGCTGAATACGTCTTCCTCAGCTGCAAGAGACAGGGACGGGAAGGGACCCATTGCCCTGTGTTTGCTTGTTCCCTCACCTTATCCCCCGACAGCCAAGGCAATGCCTTTCTTCCTTGGCAATATGAGACAATGTCTACCAATAAAAGGAATATGTGGAGGCAGAGGCTGTGATGCGGAAAGATTTCATAGAATCATAGAATGCTTTGGGATGGAAAGGACCTTTAAAGGTCATCTAGTCCATCACCCCTGCAATTGGCAGGGACATCTACAACTAGATCCGGTTGTTCAGAGCCCCATCCAGCCTGGTCTTGAATGTTTCCAAGGATGGAGCATCTACCACCTCTCTGGGCAACCCATTCTAGTGTTTCACTACCCTCATTGTAAAAAAATTTCTTCGTTATATCTAGTATGAATCTACCCTCTTTTAGTTTAAAACCATTACCCCTGTCCTATCGCTATTGGCCCTAACTAAAAAGTCCATCCCCATCTTTCTTATAAGCCCCCTTTAAGTACTGAAAGGCTGCAATAAGGTCACCACGCAGCCTTCTCTTCTCCAGGCTGAACAACCCCAGCTCTTTCAGCCTTTCCTCATAAGAGAGGTGCTCCATCCCTCTGGTCATTTTTGTGGCCCTCCTCTGGACCCTCTCCAACAGGTCTATGTCCTTCTTTTACTGAGGACCCCAGAGCTGGGCACAGTGCTCCAGGTGAGGTCTTGCCAGAGCAGAGTAGAGGGGCAGAATCACCTCCCTCGCCCTGCTGGCCACGCTGCTTTTGATGCAGCCCAGAATACAGTTACCTTTCTGGGCTGGGAGAGCGCATTGCTGGCTCATGTCCAGCTTTTCATCAACCAGTACCCCCAAGTCCTTCTCGGCAGGGCTGCACCCAATCCCTTCATCCCCCAACCTGTACTGACACCAGGAATTGCCCCAGCGCAGGTGCAGGACCTCGCACTTGTCCTTGTTGAACCTCATGAGGTTCACACAGGCCCACCTCTCCAGCCTGTCCAGGTCCAAAATAATTTTTTTTTTTTTCAGAGGACAGCGTGCCTTTACTGCATCGCCCCGTGATGTCCCCTGGTCCCCGTGACATCCTCCGGTCCCCGTGTGCAGCCTCCCCAACCCTGCATTCTCTCCTCCAGGATCAAAAATCCACGAAGGGCATCTCTGCTCCAGCCGCAGCTCTGCGGGGCACAGGGAGCCCCCGTTTCACATCCCTGGAGCCCGCCAGGGTGATGGAGCACCCAGGACCCCCCAGCCCTGTGGGATGCTGCTCCAGTATGGTGTTGGGCTCCGGCAGCCCCCCAGGCTGCAGGTGAGGCCGGATTCCCCGCGGCTCCTCCGGCATTGCTCCAGTGAGGCCAGGCCAGGATGGTGGCGGCATTGGGGGGGTCTCCTCTCCCTGGACTGGGGGGCTCTTGCAGCTCAGAAGACATAGGAGTTGGGGTCAGGGTGGCTGCTCAGCGCCCGCTCCGCCTGGGCGATGGTGTCATCGGCACAACGGCTCATCTCCCAGCACTCCTGCAGCACCTCCCTGAACTGCTTGTAGGCCTCCTCCATGATGGAGCTGTGCCACGGCGGCCACGGCTCTCAAAAACCCGCCTCCACCCAGGGCTGAGCTGCGCGGGGCGGCTCAGTACCAGCACCACCACCACCACTGCACCCCAACGAGCTGTCGAGATCCCAGCAGAGCTGGTAGAGCTCGCTGCCACAACCGGATACCCTCTCGCCATCGATGGTTTTGAGGCCAGGGAACATGTTGGCCAAGGCGGCGCAGTAAGCAGGAGCGGTGCAGAGCGGGTTGTTGAGGCGGGTGAGCGGGTCGTGCAGGCACAGGCTCTCCAGGCACCACAGCCCCATCAGGCAGCGCAGCTGCTGCAGGCTGCCCAGCTGGTTCCCGGCAAGGTTGAGGCTCTGGAGGTTGTGGCAGGAACCAAGGGGCTCCAAGCTGGCAACGCGGTTGTGTGAGAGGTTGAGGACGGTGAGGGACTTGAGGGTGGCCAGCGGGCCCAGCTGGGAGATGGCGTTGCTGGAGAGGTCCAGCCACTCCAGGTTGGCACAGTCACCAAGGCAGCCCAGGTGGGCGATGGCGCAGCCCCGCAGCTTCGGCAGCAGGATGGACTCCAGGGTGAACTCCCCAGTGCTGGCCTTCAGCAGCTGGGGGGTGATCCACACCGCCTCCCCCTCCTCCTCCTCACCCACCTCCCTGTGCCACTCCATCCCACCCAGGGGGCCCGATCCACATGGCCCCTGCGGCATGCAGCGGCTTTCATAACTCTGAAGAGGGAAATGTGTTTCCTTATAGAGAAGCCTGCTGGTGGTGGGAGATCACTGGCAGCTGCTGAAAGTCTGTGCCCATCACCCACAGTGGAGATCCCAGAGGGCATCCATCTGCGTGCCCCATGGAGGGAGAGGGGTCAGCAGATACCCACGTTGGCTTTGAGGGTCTTATGGCCCAGAAGAACAGAAGACAGGAAAGAGAGGGGAGAGAGCGGAAGTCAAGGAAGTTAGACTTTGGCCATGTTTTCAGAGAGCCCAGCGGCACCTCCTCTGGAAGGGCAGCACTGCATGCTCAGCTTCTCCAAAATCGATGGCCATGAGCTGTGTCCTCAGTCCAGAACCTAGGCCTGCATTCCTGGGGTCATGTCTCGATCGTCACCAGTGGCTTTAGCAGGGGGGCCACCTTCTGCCACAGTAGCGGCTGGAAATGCCAGAGAGGTCACAGCACCCAGAGGTGATGGGCACTCCATCACAGCTGAGGATGCTGCCAGCAGCAGCAGTGGTGGAGGATCCCACAACGGTGTTCTGTGGGAAGGAGCTGAGGATGGGTCCGGGCAGGGTCACCACCACAGCAGGAGGCTCAATGACGACGGTGGAGTTCTGGCACTGCCTGACACAGGGCTCATTGCAGCTGTTGGCCAGCGGGGTCGGGCCACAGGGCCGGCATGGCAGGCACTGGTCGTAGCAGGACATGTCTGGAGGGTGGAGGTGCACCTGGGAGAGAGGGCAGAGAGGAATCAGAGCACAGGCACATGTGAGGAGCAGTCTGCCAGGAGTCCATCTCCCTACGACGAGCATTTCAAAGGCACCTGCTGAGCCATGAGGTAGAAACTAAGCAGTGAGGCAAAAGGGTTTCTTGGCCTCATCCAGGCATGGTACTGCAAAGTGTCACTAGGCCCAAAGAGGCTGCTGCCTACTTCTTCAATTAAGAGCTCACTCAGCCAATCACTCTCGGAGTCAGACCTTCACCTGTCTTCAACCCCTCATGACAAGCAGCACCACAACCTAGCATAGGATGGGGGACCACACATCTGCATGAACAGAAAAGGAGATGGGGAAACGGCTGAAATCTCACGTGGTTCCCAAGCAGAAGGAAGCAAGAGAAGTTGATGAGGGAGCAGGAGCTGGGTTGGCTTTTATGGTGGCCTTGACTTCTATGGAATTGGCAATTTTCTAAGGGGCTCATGATGAACGGAAAACAGCCCAATTGATGACATGGGCTGGGTGGTTGTTTTCCAGGATGCTCCCTTTTCATTTCCTGGCTAATGCCTTACCCATTCCCTCACAGAAGCTTCTCCTGACTGCTGGGCTTGAGCGGCCCCAGGTTTTTTGGGGCAGGGTACTTCACATACACCACCTAGGAAGAGGAAGATCACTAACGCCCAGTGGCGCACCCTGTAAATTTTACTGTTGAAACTAAAATATTCATAGAATCATGGAATCATAGGATGGTTTAGGTAGGAAGGGACCTTTAAAAGGTCATCTAGTCCAAGACTCCCTGCTATGGGGTGTTTAGATTCATAAAATCTTTAAACTTTGCTGTCTGTAGTGTCCATTTATAAAACATGTTGGGGTGGGGTTGGGGTGAAATGAGATTCAAGAGCAGACGCTCAGCCTTGCAGTTAGGTTGTAAGTTTTAGTTACAGAATACATTTCTGAAAACCACTAAAAGAGGTGCTGGTCTGGGTCTTCTGAAACATATTTTGTGTAGCTGTGGTCATGGGGAAACCTCCATCTTCATATTTTGCAAACACATCAGTATCTGGTCATTTTGTACTAGATTGTTAGAATACAGTTTTAAAAAACGTTCAAAAGGTAATCCATTGTTACGGTGATGTAGAAAAAAGACACAGTGGTATCTGCAGGCCATGGAGGGGGGATGCTGTAGTTGTTTCCTCTGGAAAGCAATATCCGTAGCATTGTGTTTTAAACAGGCTATGATGCTTTCAGGAAAGAGAGCACTGTTGGGAGGATAACCCCAGGAGTCAAAAAACTCTGAGTGGTTCTGATGTGCCAAGAAAATTGCTAGCCAGTGTTCTCCAGGCTGGTTATGTGGATGCGTATTCACCACCACGCTCACTCATCTTGAAGAAACAAGGGCCCTAGGCAGCCAGTTGCTCAGGTAAGTGCCAAGAAATGTTTCCATGGTGTAGGGCTCTGCTGAGAAAAAACAAGAGAGCTGGTCCATCTCAGACTTCTGTCTTAGACAGGAGACAATTCTACCCCAGAAATATCTAGTGATTATTACCATAATCTAGGCAACAGATGTGTAGGAGGTCTCAGTCCCAGGGTCAGAGCTGGGTCCAAGGCCAAGGCCAGACTCAAGAGAGGACAGGGCGAAGGCTTCACCCAGCATCTGACTACCTAGGATCTGGGCTAGGCCAGGAGGACAAGAGTAGCCCAGGCCAGACACAGGCACAGATACAGCAGAGCTGGGGCCCATGGCTGCATTGGGCCTAGGTGGGCTTGGTCCTGATGCTCATCACCCCTGTGTTACCACCTGAGCCAGCACTGCCTCCCACAGCAAGTGGCCTGGGGAAAAGTGCCCCCAGTCCTCACCCCATGCAGGAATGACCCTGTCCTCTGCTCTGGTCCTGCGGTGCTGGTGGCGTGTGGGGTTTGTGTGAGGATAAACCCCCAGACCACAGGATCCCACAGTCTGCAGATGTGGGAAGGCCCTGGCCTGTGTGTGGGGAGCAATGGTGCTGCACAAAGCACAAGGGCCACTTCAGCCCCAGAGCTCTGGGAATGCTGAAGCAGCTTGGCACCTGGGGGAAGGCAGCCCAAAGCGTGCTCTAGGGTTGGGCTGGTGTGTGCCCTGTGCCATTCAGGGACAGCTCATGGATCCTGCTGAGTATAGAATGAAATCCCACTGTCGCTGCCATGTCTCCATGGAGCTGGAAGGATCTCCTCTCATGAAGCACCTTTGCAGAGCGGCGTTGGGTTGTGGCACTTGTGGGGCTGTAAACTTCCTGGGCGTGAGGAAAGCTGTGCCTGGGGAAGACAAGTGTTGTGGTTTAACCACAGCTGGCAACTAAGCACCACACAGCCGCTCACTCACTCCCCCACCCCAGTGGGATGGGGAAGAGAATTGGAAGGGTGAAAGTCAGAAAACTCGTTGGCTGAGATAAGAACAGTTTAATAATTGAAGTAAAATGAAATAGAATACTAGTAGTAGTAGTAGTAGTAGTAGTAGTAGTAGTAGTAGTAGTAGTAGTAGTAGTAGTAGTAGTAGTAGTAGTAGTAGTAGTAGTAGTAGTAGTAGTAGTAGTAGTAGTAGTAGTAGTAGTAATAATAATAATAATAATATCATACAATAATAATATACAAAGCAAGTGGTACACAGTACAATTGCTCACCACCTGCTGACTGATGCCCAGCCTGTCCCCAAGCAGCAATCGCTGCCCCCTGGCCAACTCCCCCCAGTTCATATAGTGAGCATGATGTCATAGAGTATGGAGTAGCCCTTTGGCCAGTCTGCGTCAGCTGTCCTGGCTGTGCCCCCTCCCAGATTCTTGTGCACCGGGCAGAGCATGGGAAGCTAAAAAGTCCTTGACCAGTGTAAGCACTGCTTAGCAACAACTAAAACACCTGTGTATTATCAACTTTATTCCCCTACTAAATCCAAAACACAGCACTATACCAGCTACTAGGAAGAAAAATCAACTGTATCCCAGCGGAAACCAGGACAACAAGGCACCACAGAGTAGTGTTGTGTGTTTGGACACCAGTCACAGTCCTGGGGCTGCCCTCATCCAAGGGGGTGTTGGGTTCACAGGGACAGGGGACTCCAGTGTGTGGCCTGCTGTAGCTGATTCCACTCCTGACTTGTGAGCCCCTCAGCTCTACACATGCAGTCAAGAGGTGGGCCATGCCAGATGCTGTGCTGAAGGGTGAGAGGGCTGCACGGGGAAGCTGGCCCTGCTGCCCATGCCCAGGGGTGCTGACCATGGCCCCTAGATTGGCTGATGGAGAGGAGGGGCAGGTGGAGTCAAGACTGTGTGCCATCCCCAAGGCTATTTACCCATTCCCAATTCCAGCCATCCTTTGGCAACATAGTCTTCTGAGCCTCCGTGC